AAAGAATAAACTAGTTTTAATCAAGAAAAGACTTGTATTGCTGAAGTCACTCGGAAATAATTTTTACCGGAAATTATCAAACAAGTAGAAACACAAAAAATTGGTGTCAGATAGTAGGAAGAAAAAAAAAATAGGAAACGAGACGTGGAAAATCAAACTACAACTTAACAGATTTGATGGCAGCAATACAAGAACAGCAAAAGAAACAAGAAAAACGAGAAAATAAACGAGAAGAGAGACAACAGCAGTGGCAAGAAAACCTGCAACAGTGGCAGCTCGAACAGCAAAATAAACAAGCGAGATTACAGCAGTTGTTGGAGGAAAAAGAAAAGAAACAAGAGAGACTACAGCAGTGGTTGGAGGAGAAAGAAAATAAACAAGAAGAAAGTCTCCAACAGTTGAAAGAAAGCCAGCATACGCAAATGGAAAAGATTAGTAAATTTCAAAGTGAATTAAATACATTAAAGGACGATTCACTGTCTTTTACACAGGTAGGATATATAAACCATGGACCTAATCAGCCCCAGACAACAGGAAGCCCCTTCCAGACCCTGCAGCTAAACCCTAATGCAGACATCTTCAGTCCTGCCAGAAGTCATATTCCAGACATGAGTGCCAGCAATAGGGGTGATCTAGTATGAAGAAAGCAACAGGAATTTGATGGGAAGGCACCGTGAGAAGCATATAGAGCACAATTTGAGCTCCTGGCAGAAATGGATGGGTGGACAGAGGAGCAGAAAGCAGTATATCTGGCAACGAGCTTGAAGGGACAACCATTGGCAATACTTGGACAGCTATCAGCAGATGACAGGCACAACTATAGAACACTGGTAGCTGCTTTAGAACTCAGGTATGGAACTCAAAATCAGACCGAAGTCTACAGGGCTAGGTTTAGGACGAGAGTCCATGCTAAAGGGGAGAGCCTGCAAGAGCTGGCATAGGGTTTGGAATGTATGGCACACAAGGCCTACCCAACTGCTCCACCCGATCTCCTCAAGCTGTTGTTGAGGGATCAGTTTGTAGACACCTTCGACAGTCCACAACTAAAGATACAAGTGAAGCAAGCACACCCCTCTACCATGCAGGATGCAATGGCCAGAGCTCTCGAATTTGAATCCTACGTAAAGTCCAGCACAGAGGTACCGAGGTTGGTACAGTCATCTGGATTCAATGCCAGAAAAGGTCAGCTTTCAGAGAAGTTTGAGGGACTTTGCTGGCACTGTACCAAACCTGGGCACAAGAGAGCTGAATGCCGGCAACTTCAACACAGGAAAGATGTCACAGCAGGAAAGGCTGCTACCCAGAAAGGTTGTTGGAACTGTGGAGAGCAAGGACATATGAGGAGCCAGTGTAAGAAGAATACTACCAATAAGTCAGCCTTTTGGAAATCAGTAGTGGTTGGTGCTGAGGGATGCTCACCAACCCCATTGTGAAAGTCCCGACAGTTAAATGTAAAATGGAAAGCACACATAGTGTATATGTGACAGGAAAGCTGGATGGCCAAAAGTACAACTTTGTCATAGATTCTGCATCTCAGCAAACCCTTGTGAGTATCAAGGTGTTATATCACAAAGGAGTACCAGAAGCCATACAGAAGCTCTGTGGTGTGATAGGACATTGTGCAAAGTTGTGGGGACCAGTGTGGGTAACTATTGAGCTCATGGGCATAAAGGACAGACACAAAGTATACTTGGCTGACATTGAAGACCCATGCATATTAGGGTCGGACTACTTACTACCGAGGAAGTGTGTAGTTAACTTCGATAAAATGACGTTTAGGAACAACAAAGGCCAAATTCCGGTAAGTGTTGCTGCATCTGTTGATTTGCATGTCACAGCACTTAAGTCAACTACAATACCCCTACGTCAGAGAAGATAATTTGGGGTAGTATAAAAGAACATCCCCAAGGAAGCCCAATGCTTGTGGAAGCAGTGGAAGACTCATCCAAGCCAGCAGACGTGAAGATTGGAAGGTCACTTGTGGCAGGTCATCAATAAGTACACATAACAGTGGCCAATGTCTCTAAATGTGAGCAGACACTTAAGGAAGAGGCATTGTTGGGTATGTGCCAGGAGGTAGAGCTAGTCAATGTTAAGGCAAGAAATACGATCATAGAGAAAGGATATTCTCTCCCAGAACATTTAACTGACCTCTATAAGAATAGCATAGTCCATTTATCATCATCACAGGCTTTTCAGGTTATTAGAACTCTTGGCGAATTATGCATACGTCTTTTCAAAAGATCATGACCTTGGCTGCACAGACCTTGTGGAACACAGCATAAACACAGGCAATCACCGTCAAAAGAAAGATCCCTCCGAGGAGAATAGCTCCATCAAAGCGACAAGAGATGGAGAAGGTCATGGATGGCCTAATTAAGGAAGGAATAGTCGAGAAATCATAGAGTCCCTGGTCAGCTCCCGTCGTGTTGATCCAGAAGAAGGATGGGACCCAACGTTGCTTTGTGGATTTCAGGGCTCTTAACAGTATAACTGAAAAGGACTCATACCCACTGCCAAGAATTGATGATACCCTTGATGCCCTAAGTGGAGCCAGGTAGTTTTCAACTCTGGACTTAAAGTCGGGTTTCTATCAAGTGAAAATGACTGAAGCAGATAAACCTAAGACTGCATTTAGTTATGGCCAGGGTCTCTGGCAATACTGTGTTATGCCATTCGGGCTTAGCAATGCTCCAGCAACATTTGAGAGTACTGGAAGGCCTACAATGGAGGATAGCCCTAGTGTACCTGTATGATGTCATTGTGTTTGCAACAACGTTTGATGAGAAAATGTCCCTGCTAGAGGAAGTATTCAAGCATTTGAAAGCAGCAAACCTCA